CTAGATCATACAGGGCTGGAAGCAGTTCTGGCGTGCTCGCTAATGAATGCAAACCTCCCTGGTATCCTCTTTGCACTAACAGCATTTGGGCTGGGAGGTGGATGGGTGGCCGGTCTGCTTCCCTACCTGGGATTGGTCTCCAGTACCCTCCCTTGGAGGTTAAGAGCACAAAATACTAAGGAGAGTTTGCTTTTGTACTTGTGTCTTCCTCTGTTGCTCAGGGTGGTTTTGCTTGTGTGTTAAGTGATTCTCCTGCTCCCGCTTCCCAATTGCTGGGACTACAGCTGTGGACACTACCTGGCTTGGAATTCTCTTTCTACAGAGTAGATTCAATTGTCTCTTTACCAAACTTTATTTGCTTGTCTGTTCAGCAGGCATTTGTGGGGTAGAGATGTGGCTTGTGGTAGAGCCCTTTGTGGTATGTACAAGGCCTTGGGTTAAATTTCTACCAACTTAAAAAAAAATATTATTGTCAACTTTTTTTTTTTTTGAGACAAGGTTTCTCTATGTAGCTCTGGCTGTCCTGTAACTCAACCTGTAGACCAGGCTGGACTCAGACTCAGAGATCTGCATAGCTCTGAGTGCTGGGACTAAAGGCCTGCACTACCACCACCCAGCATACTGTCAGTTTTTAATACTTCAGAATATTGTAAAATAGCCCAAAGAAAGTAGGGTACATTGTTGTATAATTAGATGACTGTGTGGTGTCCTCTAGAGAATATCTGGTGGATAGATCCCTGGAAGAATTAGTCATTTTTTTTCTTGACTTTATGTAGTATGTGTTTTTTGGTGGAATTGGGTATTGAACCTAGGGCTTCCATCGTGTTATATAGCATTCCTACACTGAGTTACACCCTAGCACTGTTTCTTCTCCTTTGTTTTGTTGTTTTTGTTTGTTTGTTTTTCCTGAGATAGGATTTCTGTGTAGCTCTGTAGACCAGGCTGGCCTGGAATTCACAGGGCTCCTCCTGCCTCTGCCTCCTGAGTGCTGGGATTAAAGGTGTGCGCCAACACATCCCAGCTAGCATATTTATTCTTTAAAAAAATATTTGTTTTTTGAGATAAGTTCTCACTAAGTCCTCAGCTGGCCTTGAACTCACTCTGTACAGCCCAGTAGGCAGAGCTTGGAACTGTGATCAAGAAACATACTACCTGGGACTTAGTCTCTTGATTTCTCCCCCCCCCCCCCCCCCCCCAATAAGACTTTGCTCCACAGCCCAGGCTGGCTTTGAAATTGTGATTTTGAAGGTTTGGGCCTTGGAGTCTTGGGTTATAGCTGTGTGCCACCATGCCCTGCTTTCTTCCACATTGCTACAGGGGCCAGGAAGCTGGAGTTCTGCTGGGTCCAAACTAGAACTATACTAGAGGCCTGTCAGTAGTAAGATTCGTAAAATCATATTGTTTTACCCAATGGGAATCTTTACAGCAATAGAGAAGGGAAAACCTTGCAGTCACATGTGTCAACATGAATTAATTCATAGCCAGTAATGTGAAAGAGATTCTATGGGAGTATATACTACTATATGATCTCACTTCTATTGTGTCCAGTAATTAAAACCTGTGTATATTCTTATACATTAAGATTCTGGTTATAACTGGTGAGGGATATGGCAAGCCTTCTAAATTTTCATAATTATTTGTTACTTATCTATTTACTAATTTTTATGGTGACAGAGTCACTTTGTAGCCCAAGCTGGTGTGGAATTCCTTGTGTAGGCCAGGTTGGCCTGGAGTTGTGATGGGGAATCCTCCTGCCTCTGCCTTCTGAGCATTTGCCTAACTCTCAGTTTTTGAGGTATATATCAGTAACAGATGCTTTACGGAACATCATTAATCTACTTGTAACTAATGATGTGTACATTTTAAGTAGATTGCTGTCTGTCAGTAAAGTTTGTCAAAAAAAGGTCATTTGTGAGCCGTAGTTCTGCTTCTTCAGGGCAGGCGGTGCAGGTGTACTTCAACAACAAAGCCCCAGCTTTGCTGTCCTTGGTGTTCGATTGAGTTTTCCATCTGTTGCTGGTGGGACATGGGTTTCAGAGTGGGCTGGCTTCTGAGGGCTGGGTAACCTTCATTTGATTTTAGAATGCTCTGGAAGTTTTCCCCAAGCACTTCCAGATCTTTCTGTATGTGTATTGTTGTCTCGTGAGTTGTAATTTCATTTTCCTTAGATTGAATTGTGAGATTCTAAACTTGTATTCCCCAACCCCATTCCAGTTTGGTATGTAATTTGCATATTTTCACCATGCGAAAGCTATTTTCTATGGTTGGAAAAGACTTTTTTTTCCTACAGTGTGAACAAATCATTCTTTGTTCTCTTTATTGTGCCTTCAAACTGGTACGTCCGGTTTATGCCCCAAACAACAAAAGTCTGTCATCAGAAATTAAAATGCCAGCAAGAACAAAGGCAGAGACCAGGAGGAGCTGGGGAGAAGTTCCCTCTACTGCCCTCCTCTCCTGTTACTGTTACCACAGTGGCCTGGAAGCTGGAGTTCTGGGTCTACTCTCCCTGGTTCTGACCTTACCATTCTTGGGCTGTCAGTTTAAAAGTGAGCTTGCAGCTTCTTTTTCAGGCTATAGGGTCCTCAGCATTGAGATTCCTTGTCATTTTCAGAGATATTTTTTCTAGGAAACCCAAAAGTAGTTTTGACTGCTTGTAACACTGTTTTGGTGTTTACCCATGAGCACACTTCGTGAAAGTGTTAGAGGTAGCTGGGCAGCATCCCTGTGTGTTTGTGTTCTTTCTGACGTGTGGAAGGCTCAATATCTGGACATGCCTTGGTCACACTCTCTGCCCAGCCTTCTTCTAATTTAGGATTTTCATGTACATTTGGGGAATTCTTTCCTGGGAGGCTGATATTTGTGACTTAACATTTTGCAATTTGAGTTACACTTCTGATTTTAGCAAGCTGTATGTAATCCAGAGTCTAGTATATTCACAACTCTCTGTATGTGTGACACAGTACTTCCTCCTTCTCTCGTCCTATGCTATACTCAGGATCCTAAAACCCTAACTCAGGCGGTGAGGTGTGGACAGTGAATGTAGTGATGCAATTTCAATGTTTTCCTCGTGGGTTTTTGTTATTACCTCTTGCTGTACATGTAAAAATGTGTTCAGGGTAGAACAGGGAGTTTGGATCATTTTGAAAGTTGTTTTGATATAAAGCTTTGTGTGTTTGGGTTTTGAAATGTTTTTCTGTTTTCTGAGTATATCTGAGTACAGGGACTCAGAGACATTTGAGTTTTGTTCGAAAAACTAAATGCCAGTTCGGGCACATGGAAACAATAGTACAAACAGAAGATTTTGTGTTCACACTGTAATTTGTTATGGGTGTAAATTTCACAAGTGGAATTTTCATTATTTTGTATTATACAACTTTAACTTATACATTATTTTTAATTAAATTTTTTCTTAATTGTATGAAAGTGTAGAATTACCTATCTCGAACTGCAGATACTGTATTTTCAAAATGTAATGACTTGGTCAACATTGCCTGCTTTGCCTTTTTTGTTTCGGTTTTCCAGTGGTGGAGACTTGGAATTTGTCACTAACACATCTTTGATATGAGTTGACAGTATCATTACTCACCTGTTAGCATATGTGTTCAAAAACCAAAAGATGTGGTACATTTTAGATTTCAGAAAAATGTAGGATTGTTGTATTAGGTGGAAAGTTTCACAAAATTATCATCCAAGTTTCTTCCTAGAAACTTTTAATTTTACCCTATCACCGTAAACTGAAGACTGCAGTGTGTTTTGCTCATGGGTTTCATTATTGAAGTGAAAGCCACGAAGGCTTGTGGCACACAGGAGCTTCTGCTCTGCTGGCTTCTTTGGGCCTTGGGTAGGTGGTGCTCTTGTTGCACTGTCTTGCTGGGGCCCCTCACTACTGCTGCAGCCAGCAGATCGTCGTCAAATTTACAGGAAAAAACACTGGTAGCTCACAGCCCTAAAAGGTGCACAGGGGAGAGCCTGAAGACGTGAGTTCTTTCTCTAAAGGCACCTCTGCATGCATGTAGTTTACTTCGGAAGATTTTCATGATGGATATGTATATTCTTGGTACTTTACTTGTTGGGCAAAGTCTATTAAAACAGTAGTATATGCCTTCTATTTTTTTCTTTATAATTTTTGTTACTTCTATTAGAAGTTATTGAGTTATTGGGGCCAATTTTACAAGCTGTACCTACCATTTTTTCTGATATTATATTCCTTCAAACACTAGCAGTGTTCCTGAAGTGTGCTGAAGATCATATTAGTATCTCTTCCTACAGTCAGTCTAGAAAGCTGTTATTTTCTAATTCTATTTTAATTTGTTCACCAGCTCAACCAGCAATGGAAAGGCACTTTAAAACTTGTTCTACACTGGCATACCCCTCTTTTGCCTTTTGGAGAAACAGAATACTGCCGTCTTTATTCCAAGCACAGACTCTGACTTTACTCAAGGGAATGGACACTGTTACAGTCTTTATCTTTGTTTATAGTAAAAGTGATGACTTCCAAAGTTGCTTGATTACAACTTTATCACTCACAGTATATTGCAGTTAGAGGTGTCTTGGAGGTCTTTTTAAGCAGTCTTGTTCTGTAATTGCATAATAATGTAGCTGGTAGATTTGTATGATTCTAGAAAGATAACTGATCAATAATGGAGCTTGGATATTGCAGAGCAGACTCATAGCTGCCTGGCTCCTACATGGAGAGTGAGTGTAGGAGCTGCACAGACTTATTAGGGGTTAATAGAAATGACGGGCTTCTAGAACAGACTTTTTTCAAGTTCATACTAATAATGAATTGTAATCTTTTTCTGAAAATGCTTACATTATTCAAGATTGGGATGTATTTGATGTGCATGATCACCCCTAAATCCTAATGTATTGTGTGTGTGTATATATATATATGTATATCTATTTCCAACAAATCACGATAACATTTAGACGTTTTTATCAGATAGCATTGTGCCACATATTTTAGTATGCTGAGAGATTTTCTGCCTTTTCATACACAGATCAGCGGGGAAGCCCAGGAGCTCTTTTCTGTTCGACACGGCCCAGTCCGAGCTGCTAGAATCTTGCCTGCTCCACAGTTGGGTGAGTGTAGCCCTTAAGGAAAAACAAATCACACAGTTTCTCTTTTGTTGTTTTTGGACTACAGACAGCAAGAGTGATAACCCAGGTCTGTTTCGCTGCAAAGGTCCATTCTGTCTCCCTCCTCCCCCAAGACAAACCCTTAGTGCTCTCAGTTGCAATAGAAATAGGTAATCTTAACCATTTCAATATGGCTATTCACTTTCTGCTGTGGTTTTGATTTATCTCCATCCTCTTTGATCTCGATTTGGCCTCTGCCTTTGCTAGCTCTTTCTCCAAGCTGTCTTCTCTCTTGGCTTTCTGAGCATCCTTCTGGGCTGCCTTTGTTCTGCTGCTGGCGTGCTTTCTTCTGTGGGTATTCCCCAGGCCTCCCCTCACATGCCTTTCCCTTCTCAGTTAGACTTGCTGGCTTAGACAGCTTGGTTTTCAGTATTGTCTCTGCTGTAGGTGACTCTACAGTCAAGAGATTTCACTATGGCAGAAGGAATCTGCTTTTATGGCAACTATTTAGGTTTTTATATTAGTGTTTATTCACTGCGGAAAACAATGTAGCTTTATCGTCATGTATATATTGTTCCTTGAACCTTTTTGCCCTCCTCCATTGCCTTCTCATTCATCTCTGTTTCTTTGCAAGTAGGTTAAAAATGTATGTTCATGTTACATTTCCTGACTTCTTTATATTATGACATCAGAAAAAGTATTTTTTCCTTGTTCCTTACGTTCACTAAAATACATTTTTATATATTCAGCAACCATATTAATCACATGGGACACTTTAAAGTTTCTTTAAATATATAGTATACAAAATACTTTAATTCTGTTATAATTTTAAAGGTTACCCTGAAATGAAAAATCGCATTAAAACTTCATGTAGCTGTTAATTAAATTGGTAAGAGTGATGCTCACTAAATCTTAGGCCTTGATTGTACATAAGTAATGTAAGGGATTGGTGTAATAATTACATTTTCTTTAATGAAATCGAAAGGATAGCAACAATACCCCGAGATCACATGCTTTCGCTTGCAGTTTTCTATGTGGTGTGGATAACCTTCATCTGTACTCCCCCCCCAGGTGTGGTCTCTTGTTTGCCCTTGAGTTTCTCTCTCTCTCTCTCTCTCTCTCTCTCTCTCTCTCTCTCTCTCTCTCTCTTTCTGTTGTATTTATATTCTTGTGAACTGTTTTGACAAAGAAGGTTCTAATAGACTGTCCTTCCGTATTCTGGAATAGTCAGGGTTGTCCACAAGTACTTTAACGGTAACAGACTCTGGTTTTTCTTTCGTGTGTAAATAACAGAATCGGATTTTTGCCTTTTTCATTTATTTGTAAAGTTCTTTTGTTCAGTTGCTAACCAACATTTCTCAACTTTCACTTGTCATAAAGTAGCTTTAAATTGCTTTGTTAGTCAATAAATTATTTCTTCCACTAATAGACTCCTTTAGATTTAAAGTACAATTTTACAGGATAAATGTTCTGACTGAAAAATTCTTTATATGCCATTTTAATGTATTTGGTTAAATTTTAATATTTGTTTTTATTAAATGTAATACATGGGACAGAACTCATAAACTCTGTAATAGAAAATACAGCCCTCCCTGGGGTTGTCCCTATTCTACACCACTCCTTCACTTTGGTGGCGGTCCTTCTGCTGCTTCCTGAAAGCACACATGTGGGGGACACAGCCCCATCGTGTGAAATGTCTTTATTCTCCCTGAACTGTTGGCTGGCCATCAACTGTCTGCTTATAATCACATTATTTCAGAGTTTTGTAGGCATTAGATTTGAGTTATGTGGAAGGGTCTGAATCCATTGTGACATCTTATTCCTTTTATGTATCCTGTTATTCTGCTGGAAATTGTTGGCTTGTTCTTTGTGTTCTTTTTGGTTTTTTGAGACAGAATTTCTCTTTATAGCTTTAGAGCCTGTCCTAGAGCTCAACTCTGTAGACCAGGCTGGCCTTGAACTCAAAGACCCGCCTGCTTTTGTTTCAGCTTCTTTTTGAGTTTTTTATAATTCTAACTGTAGCTCTGGCTGGCCTACAACCAGAATGTCTTCTAACTCAGAGATTTGCCTGCTTTTGCCTCCTAAGTGATGGGATAAAAGGTGTGCTCAACCATGCCCAGCAAGGGTTAGTTTTTAAAAACCGCTCTTATTTTGTGTGTATGTGAACACGTGAATGATGCATGGCGTGTTTGCTCTAGCATGTGTGTGAAGTTTAGAGGATCACTTTGTAGAGTGCGTCTTCCCCTCTGTCTTTTGGGGGTTGCCCATCTTGAGTTGCAGGTGCCTTTACCAGCTGAGCCATCTTGCTTGCCCCTCCTCTGATCTTTTGTGAGGTGACCCTGTTCTGTGTATGTTTATGCACGGTGTCTTCCATTCTCACCCTGTGTATCCTTCCAGTTGTCCCAACAGAGTTCTGCTTTTGATGGTGTGAGTTTCTTTAACTTATTAAATGATCTGTTCTTTTGTTTCTCTCTCTTTCTTCCATATTCATTTATTTGTTCAATCTCTGTAGCCGGGCTGGCCTGGAACTCATTTTGTAGTTCAGGCTGCCTCTTCTTGCCTTAGCCTCACAAGTGCTAAAATTACAGGCATAGCCACCATACCCGGTGAATTTCCTTTTAGAGCATGTATGTCTTGCTAACCTCTCCTGCTCCTCTTCACTGTTGGGTGTCTGTCCTCAGAGTACTCACTGCTCTTTATTACTCATGTGTAGACTTTTCATACTTTTAAGCAACTTATCACATGTGTAGGTACACATACTTGTGATGTATGTGCCACAGCATGGATGTTGAGGTCAGGGTTGCCTTTCTTAGATCTTTACACAGGTTCCAGGTACTCTGGTTGTTAGGCCTGTGTGGCAAGTGCTTTACCCATTAAGTCATCCTGCTGGTCCACAATACATTCAGTGCCTCTTAAGAGTGTTTGCTGTGAAGTCTTAATACGTATTTGTTGAATGTTGTTGTATGGTATACTCTCATGGAAGTTAAGGCCAAATTTCTGTGAAAAAATCTTCCCCCTGGTTTAAAACAGAAAATCAAAACGATTTAAATATAATTTTATCCCACAGGAGATCAGCACTGTAACGGTAAGACAGTAGCACTGTAGTGCCGTGATGGTGTACTGGGTACTCTCTTTTTCTTTGGCCACTATCAGGGACTCAGTATATTCTTTTAATGACTTATTATTTATTTATGTATACATGTATATCCATAGTCAGATGCTAGAAGATATTGTCAGGTATGCTGGAGCTGTGAGTAGTCTGATATAGGTGCTTAGAACTAAACTCTGATCCTTTGCAAGAGCACCAAGCACTTTTAACCATTGAACATCTCTCTTCCTGCCTCCAGTGATCCAATACATTTTTAATGAATCTAAATCTTTAGAATTTTTTAAAATTAAATATAACAGAAACATGACTGGGAATATAGTTCAGTTAGTAGAGAGCTTGCCCAGTATGTGGGAGGCTCTGGGACCTGCAAAACCAGATGTGGTTTAAACTTTTTTTAACTTTAGTACTAAGGAAGTGTAGGCAGGACGATCATAAATTCAGAGTCATCTTCAGTTGTATAGCATGTTAGCCAGCCTGGGATGCATCGTCCAAAACATGTAGAAAGCTACATACAACCAATTAATTGGTATTCTTATATCAATAAAACTTGAAGTATGTGGGGGAAGTAAAGGAGGAAGAAACACACTACTAAAACACACTGTGTTTGAAAAATGCTTTAAAGAGGCTGGGCAGTGGTGAATCCTGGCACTTGGGAGGCAGAGGCAGGTGGATTTCTGAGTTAGAGGACAGCCTGGTTTACATAGTGAGTTCCAGGACAGCCAGGTCTACACAAAGAAACCGTGCCATGAAAAAACCAAAATAAATAAAAGTAAAATAAATTTAAAAATAAAAATGTTTTAATGACTTAAGATTTTAATTTAAGATGCTAATTTAAAACATTAGAAATTATTTAAAAGGCTCTTTAAGGTTTACATAAAGGTAAATGAAAAAAAAAACTTGATGCTGATCCTCCTTGAAAATTAGACTTGAGCTAGACAGTGGTGGCACACACCTTTAATACCAGTACTCTGGGAGGCAAAGGCAGGTGGAGTTTGAGGCCAGCCTGGTGGTCTACTAAGTGAGTTCCAGGCTCCAAAGCTACAGAGAAACCTTTTCTCGAAAAACAAAAACAAAACAAACAAAAAACAAAGAAAGAAAAGAAAGTTAGTCTTGGAACCTTATTTCAAGTAAAGTCAAGTTTTCTCATAATCTGAGAAGCAAGTAAAGATTTAGAGACTCAGTGTATAATGCAATGTATCTATATGTATATTTTAGCATATAAGTCAAGACTTTTATGTGGCTATTATGTTTGGCTTTGTGAAAACTACTTCTAGCCCAGCTTGGCAATACTCCTAGAACTCTGGAGGCTGAGGCAGGATAATTGCTAGTTTTATGATAGTATTAGCTACAGAGGTTGAAGCCAGCCTGGGCTACATTTAAGCACCTATCTGAAAACAAAAGCATCTGTTAGTGGTGTTTAAAACTGTTTCTCTGGCAGTGTGAAGTTGCAGGCAGTATTCCTAATAATGACTTTTCTCATTGCTGTAATAAAATATCTGACAAAAGCAACTTAGGCAGGAAAGATTCCTATTGGTCTAACGGTATAATTCACAGGGTAAAGTGATGGAGGAAGGAGCTTGAAGCAGTTGGTATATTGCATCTGCAGGAAGCAGAAAATGTGCTGGTAGTGCTCAGCTAGCCTTTTCCTTCTGAGCTGTCTGGGACCCAAGAGGAGGTCTTCCTCCTTCAGTTAACCTACTCTGTATATTCCTTAGCAGACATGCCTTGAGGCTAGCCTGGACAGTCCCTTACCAGAATACCCATATACATGCCTGAGTCTAGCCTCAACAGTCACCTACATCCCCACAGGACTATTTCCTAAGTGATTTTAGATCTTATTAGGTGACAATTGATAGTAACCATATGGAGGCTGAATAGTGGCTATATGGTGAGT